TTGCGTTGAGGGCCATGGACCTCTAGTGAATCGTAGCAGAAAGACGGCAAGACGAAGCCAAAAGTGATGTGGCTTAGTGTTTGCAATAGTTAGAACAAACGTACAGGGACATGCAGCTTTTCACACGCCCCAACCCCATGCACTTTCCCAAACCTGTCCTGAAATTTCTGGTTTATCAGCGTCGTGTCTTTTGCCAGCGTGAAAAAGTGGCCCGTGACGCTGGAGTCCAGAAGCAACCCAGCCTCTTCTTTCAGTTCCCTTAAGGCGGCATTCTTGGCCGCATCTTCCTGCCAGTTTCCACCATGCCTGTAGACAAGATCTGCTGAATCTATTTTTCCAGCAGGTGTAGCAAGAAACCCGCTGCACCTTCGGTGCGCCAAGACATGCCAGTCGAAATTGACATTCATGAACAAGTATAGCGCCACACTGCCATACTCGTCGGAATGTCGCGGCATGTCCTGCTGTGTTGCCAAAGCAGTCTTCAATCTACCTTGCCCTTGCTTGAAGCCAAGGCTGGCGCGCAAGCAGTGTGAGATGCAGTTGTGTTTCATGATCACTGAACGGCAACAACATTTGAGAGCTGTTTTTTCCACTAGCAGCCTGAGTAAGTAAGTTTGAACAACCAAGGCAAGGAGCTCCAACAAATAGATCATTCGACAGCAACTGTTCAACTGCGGGTGCAGAGCTGGTTCTAGATGCAGCTTTGTCAACAATGTGGCGCGCATGGAGTTGCGGAAGCTTTATGTTGAAGAGGCGAAGGGCAATTCCTGCTGTCGCCAACGACAACACAACCGAAAAAACAAAGTCGTGCAGTGTTACCAGATGCCTGCATACCCTAATCGAAGAGCTGCACAGCCAACCCAGGGCGGGCCCTTGCTCATGGATTGACAAAGCATTGCGCTGCGTTTTTTTTCTGGCTGCAAAATGTGCGAAGAGACTGTTGCGGCAGCAATTCAAGTAAAACACTGGCAAGACTGCGTGGCCGCAGTTTGCGTCTAGCGATGCTCGAAGATTGTCTCCTTGGACTCATTCTTCTGATTCAGCAGCTTAATAATCATCATCTCTATCTTGTTGACACGGCCTTGCACCCCTGTCAGCTCGTCCAAGATATCCTTAAGCACTTCCTCGGGCGGGAGCGGCGGCGGACTCAGCCACGGCGGCGGCGGGGAGGTGCTGGTCCACGCCGAGGATGCCTGCGATGATGGCGGCAAGCGATCATACACGGCGCCCACCCAGTTAGTACACATCGGCGGTTCGCAATTTTCGGACCGAACTTTGAAGGCCTCATCCCTGGTGTAGCGCCAGCTGTGCTGCAGGCCAGCCTCAGCCTTTCCCTCCAGCAGGCACACGCAGCAAATCACCTCAAAGTTCTGACCGCAAACCATCACACCGCTGTCTTTGAAGGCCTTCTTCTTGAACAACGGGGTCTTGTATTTCCATCCGCAGACATCGCACACGGCCTGCCAGTCAGAATTCCACGGCATTGTCTGACTGACAGCTGCGTTTCCGCAGATGTTCCACAGATGTTCCTTAACAGCTGCGGCGGGCAATTCAACCATCACGACATGAACGCAGCATCCCTGACACATGTTTCAAACTGTTCACAGGCGCGCCCGAGCAAACACAGGCACGAATCGAAGACTGCAGCTCTACCACCATTAGCCTTGCGTAAGAGGGTCTTTTTCTTGTTCCGACCTTGCGCCCGAAACGTGTAAAGTCAAGACTAAGCTACTGTTGGAATTTGCAGAGGTGTTGGCCATTAACAAGAACCAACTGCGGGCACGCAGTTGGTTTTCGCGGCAGCAGCGCTGCGTGGAACTCCGGCAGTATAAACATGGGACCAAGGGCATTCTGACTATCTTCGTTTACCAGCACGGGTGCGAGGCGAGTGAGCCAGGCATGCGTCACCCGGCGCGCCTGGGGCGGCGGGTGCGAAGGGCCTCCTGTTCAGATGCACTGCTGGAGGAGTCACAAAGCAAATCGGGCAATGCGGCCATGCCACGTATATACCACCGCAAGTCTGCATGCACCCACCACTCGGCAGCTTGTAGCGATGCTCGCTCGCCGAGGGTAAGGAAAGGCCATAAAGCTTCGGCCGCTGCGGGCGTGAGAAAATAAGTGCTCCCCCAAAGCGGCTGCGGCATCGATGCTGGGGGTGCCGGCGGCGTGTCGTCAGGCACGCTGTTGTGCATACACCAGTCTGACTGTTCCATCATGTCATGGCTCCCCTAAAAAAAGGCCAGTTTGGACCAGAGCGCTGCAAAGTAAATTGCACAAAAAGCATGTCAAATTGACAAATATTGCCCCAGGTGCTCTTTTTCTTGCCTGCAAACAAGCATGCGGCAGCAAACACATCGTTTCTCAGGCTGCAGCAGCCCCTCAAGCTCAGCCCAAACACTCACTGTGTCGCCGCAGTGTGTTCGTATATGAACTCTCGAAGCACCGGCTGCAAGTCCTGTATCAGGACATGGACTGGCCAGAGTATGGCCAGAAACACACACTCTGCGTCGTGGCCAGCGGCAAGACCGCCCCACACATCCAGGGCCTCGCTCACCTGCAACATTTGGTCATGGAGAGTGCGCAGCTCGTCAAGCTTAACCTTGTTCAGCTTCCCCTTCATCGGCCGCAGCATCTCGTACTCATCAAACATCCACAAGCCGTCCTTGTAGCGCAGCGCACATCAGTCACCGGTGTCTTGTGGCGGAAGAAGTGTTCAAGCACAGCGCATGTGGCGCAGCACTTGCTGATGATCTTGGAGTTCATCCGGTTGTCTTTGTACAGAGGGCCCAGAGTCTCGCAGACCTTGATGAGCATCGAGAAAGGGATCTTGTCTGGTTGCCCGCAAGTGATTCGTTGGATGTCTTCCGCCAACTTGTATAGGCAATGCCCCCGCAGAATGCCAGGTGAGCCCTCCTCCAAGTACCTGGATGCCATGGCTTCGCCAGCTTTGGTTACAAAGCTGGACATTTCAACAAGTTGAAGCCGAACCGAAGCTGAGCCAGTTGAACCGAATGGGCGGGCGGCGGGCGAAAACTCAATGAGCCGCACGCAACGCTGGCAGCAAAACAGACACGTTTTTTGTAAAACTCAGGAGTTGCCAAACTTCTCAGGCAAAGCAAAAAACCTAAGCTGAGCCGGGCTCTCAGGGGAAAGGCTGCGTTTACGCAGCCTTTTCTAGATGCAAGTTCAGTCAGAGTTCAAGGGTAAACAAGCTCACGCAAAGTCAAACAAGCATCGTCCAACAGCATCCCCAATGGTGTAAGAGGTCCGTCAATGTCGGCCAGTTCGTTCAAGAAGTGCAGAACCTGGGTCGACTCTTCCACAAAGGCCCGCTCTTCAGCAGTGACGCGTGGAAGTTGCGTTGGTCCTGGAGAGCCTGGAGAGCGCAAATCCCGCACAAGAGGCTCCCTGGCCATATCATCAGAAGGCAATGGCGAAATCAGCGCGCGCTCCACACCAGCAAGAACGACTGCGAAAGGAAACATCGCGGCTCTTCGCCCAGTTGTTTCCATGATCAACCGCAGGACCCGGCTGCATTTCCTGACAATAATCTCGTGGAACTTCAGTTCAATGACACGCAGCGCCACGCAATGCGCGAGCTCGTCAGCGTCAACCCCGTAAATGTCCATGGCAGCACGCGCGCCAAGTTTCACTACCAGCTGACATAGCAAAAACAACTCTCTGAGCCACCGGATTGTCCAAACATCAAGGCCCCCCTCCCTCCCCAAGATTTTCGGCAAAAAAAACCTTTCCGGAAAAACGGATTGTTTTGACAAAGAACGCGCGCGCGAAAAAAACAAGGTTTTCGGTCCAAAAAAAACACACACAAAAAAAAAGCATAAAAAGCATGTCCTTAATGACCAGCCAGTGAGGCGTCGCATGGTGTAGATACTCTTTGCCCAGATTGCAAGGCACTCCTGGTAACATCTTGGGGCCTGAGCCTGGCGCGGTAGACGCTGTCGCAGGCGCGTGGCGTTGCAAACAGTGGCCCAGGCTCCAAGTTACAGTTTTGCCCAAGCAGGAATTGTCAGCTGCTCGTCAGACAGGTTGCGAAGACCTAGCGTGCTTGGCGCTTTCGCCGAGCTGTTAGGCTCTCTTGCTTCCTGGTTGACGTTTGTTGCCATGGGTATCGTTTGTTGGCTTCTTTGGATATTGCCACAAGACGTCTAACATCACCGGATCAGATTCTGGGGGCTCAGATCCTGCAGGCGGCTTTTGCCAGGACGCTGGCTGGCCAAGTTTTTCTATTGCCACGACAACGGCTTGACAGACCGCTTTCCTTATGCAACCTTTCAGGGTCCCTCATGGACAACCCCACTTTTCGGGTCCTTGCATGGCTCTTTTGGCGCTTTCTGAGCAGCCGAGCTTGCTTCGGCAGCAGCCTTGAAGGCCAGTTTCCCCGTCCCCGCAAAACCTAGCTACGAGCTTGTGACGGCTGCAGGGTATCGCTGCTGCGTCCCGTGGGGCGCAAACTGGCGCAAAGTTACGGACAATGAGGACTCGGGAATCCCTGTCAGGACACGGCTTGCGCTTCAAGGTCATACTGCTGCTTGCCGCCTTTCGGGCTCGCAGCTTTTGCGGCTTTGCGTGTCTTTCCGCTTGCCATGTAATTATGTCCGGCGACGCTGGCGTGCCGGTGGATAGCGCCGCCCAGGCTTTGGTCCTCGGCACCGCAGATGAGGACCTGGAGCCTTGTGACGCTGGCGTGCCGGTGCAGAGCACCGCCCAGTCTTTGGTCCTCGGCACCGCAGATGAGGACCTGCAACCTTCACAGCTGACGCAGTCCCAAGGCGTAGGGCCTGTGGAGTCAGATGAGCGCCTGGGGTTTGCCTTTCGGCCCTCGCGAGAGACAGCAGACAGACGGTCTGATCCAGCCCAGTTGATCCTGAGCAAGCTTCGGGAATGCGCCAGTGATGTAGACCTTGGGTGCAGTGTCGGAGCCCGTCCAGCTCTTCCTCAAGTGCGAGACGGACCAGAAGCTGTACCAGGCGACGTTCGCAATGCTGGAGCGCGTCACTGCCTCTAAGAATACGTTGGTGGAGGTTGGCGACGACTCCGCGTTCGACATCAACCTCCTGGCTCCGGCGCCGATCATCACAGCGGTGCAGACCATGTGCAAGGCACAGGGCTGGTGCGCCGAGGCAGCCCTGCAAGGCACGGCGCGTTGGCCTGACGCGCGGCAAATGGCTTAAAATGCGGTGGTGTTCTGACCGCGCGCTTGTCCCTGCGTCCCCTATTGGTCGGGCTAATACTAGCGCGCACGCAGCTGCACATCCACGCTGTCCCTGCGACAGGCCTCTTTACTGTCACCGGCTGGCTGGAGCACGTGGACACCAGGATCCAGATCTCGGAGGGTGAGGAGCATGCCAGAACACCCTTGGCAGCGTTCTTCGGTTCGCGGGCAAGCAACCGCAAGAGCTCCATGCATAAGTGGCTACTTCAAGAGTTGCTCGACATCGACACGCTGCCGCACGGCGTCAAGGGCTCGGCGGCAATCGCTACCGACGCGACCATCAAAGGTCACCGCAACAACCTGTACAATTACAGACGCTCAGGCCTCTCTTCGACGGAGCTGAGCGAGACCTACAAGACGTCGTGGACCGACCCATCCATCCCGCAAGCCAAGCTGGCGGCCAAGTCTCTCATCAACAAGCTCGTGCACTCAGAGCGCGATGCCTCCCTCACCGGAGCAATGGTGGACGACAACTCCAACTATAGCTTCTATCATTGGATCATCGGACACGTTCAGCCGCTATCGGAGGTTCTGTCTTTGAGGAAGGGGGCCGAAGTCGGCTTCCCGAAACGTTTCCACATCGTCGTGAAGGGCATGAAGCCGGCCACGATACCGGAGCAGGAGTGTCTAGAGTCCAAGCAGTTCCTTGCCGACTTCATTGTCTTCATGGCCGAGAGAGCCACGCAGGGGGATGAGCCCAACAAAGGCGCCACGGTCACGTGCGATGAGTTCGCTGCCGGCTGGCTCAGGCGGGCTTTGCCCGCATGCTTGTGTTTGAGTTTGCCCTTGCGCGCGTGCCTTTGTGCAAGTTACTCTGCTCTGCGCGAGAAGAACTATCCATCGCGCGCTGCTTTCTCCGTGCCTCGCGCGTGTCCCTCTTGTCTCGCAAGGCTCATCCAGTAATGCATTGACGACTTCGCAGAGTCGGTGAGCCTGCCGGAGACGTAGTCCCAGAAATTGGACTATGCGGACAGCGACGTGCTTCGCATCAGCAACATCGTCCGAAGGATGCGTCAGCTCCCCGGCAGCCGTTTAGATTCACATTTGGATTCATTTCTGGCTTTGGAAGTCGTAGGCCATGCAGTCGTACAGCCATGAGCTGCCCACGTGGCCACAATCCATCAACCCCCGGCCTGCCATAAAAAGAAAAAAGCAAAGGCCTTGCCCGCGCAAATCCTGTAGCACTCGTGGGCGGTAAGTCGCCCTTCGCTCCGGAATGGTCATGCTAAGCCCGCTTTGAAGTCGAGAGCCGCGCGCCCCCCTGAAAATGAGGGCCATCAGCTTCTCAGGTTCCTTCGGCTCCGCGCCGGGCTTGGCTTCGAGGACAAGCCCATCGGCATCCGCGACATCCAGTACGGCATCCACCCCTGGTGCCGCCAGCTGGAGTTCTACTCCGGCCTGGTGGTTGCTGCTGACAAGGCCGGGGCTGAAGCTACGTCTACTGGGCCCGCCCAAGGTCAAGATGCTTCTCACCTCTGTATGAAGTGGGTCTTGCAGAGCACTCCAAGCACAACTGAGGAGCAGAGCACGAAGGATGTCAGGAAAAAGCTCAAGGGTCGTCTGCAGGCCTTGTGTGATCGTGGAGCCAAGGGAGACCGCAAGAAGAAGGTCAACGGTCCCGCCAACACCTTGCCACAAGCTGTTCGAGACCTTGCCTCGCACTCCCTTCTGGACATTGTCCCAGGGCAAGGCGGTGGCCGTGCGACATTGACCTTTCGTAAGAGGAAGTGGTCGGACATCACAGATTGCCAGGACTCCAGAGACATGTGCAAGTCCTTGCGCGTTGGTAGTGAGCTCTTCCCGTAGCAAGGCTGCCAGGCAATCGCCGTATCGGCCTCGCTGGCTTTGGCTGCCATTCATTCCAATGCGGGTGGGCTTTTGCCTGACGACTCAGGGGGTTTGGAAAAAGAGCGCCTCGTTGCATTCTATTTTGTTGGAGCTTCCGTCACACGCAGCGTTGAGCCAGATAGAGTCCCGAAGTCGTGAGTCGCGAAGGCTATCTCTGTTCAGCCCACGGGTGCGCCACGGGTTCGACACGGTCTCGCAAGTTTGAGCCTCTGTGTTTGGAAGCGCCTGCCCATTCTGTTTTCTATCGCGCGCTCTCAGTTTCGGCGCCCTGCTCTGAGCTTTGAGTTTGTTAACGTGCCATGCGCTTGGCTGTGCTTTTTTGCGCAGCGCAGTATTCAGCAGTCTCCAATAAGAGCTCGCGGCATCATTTGTAGTTACATGCGGGCACATCGAAAAAGGCAGTTTCGTGTGTAGCTGGCTGTTTCTTTGACATCAGCCCGTGCAGCGGGCAATGGCACAGCCTCTCTCTCGAGCGCATCAGCTGAGCCTTCTGGCGCGGCGCCACCCGGAGGCTCAGTGCCCAGGTTGCACCAAGGGGAGGCCCTCGTGTAGGCTGACACGCTGGATTCTCTAAAATCTGCAACTGGGGAGCGGTAAGGAGGACCCCGCCTGCGGCTTGTTTGGTTGGGCCCACAGACCCAGCAGATTGATTGCGCTTGATCAAACGTGGTATGGGAATTGCAGATTGATTGCGCTCCAGCACGGGCAGTTGAATTTGGCTGATTCCGTAGGTTCGTGTTTCTGTCTGTCAGAGTTAGCTCATCTGGAGAACCGCATGGCAGCCCCTCCTCGCACGGTAGTCTCCGTGTCTGTGACTGGGTGTAGCAATGCAACCGTGATAGTTGTGCCATTCGGGAGTAGCGCTCGCATCAATGTCCAGACCTTTGGGTCGGGCAGGAATGGCGGTCCTGATGTTGCGCGAGCGGCAGCTTCAGGGCACAGGCAGCCTCCAGCATTCGCAACATCGGCAAGGTTTGCGCCAAGCACGAGGCCCGCGGGTGGAGAGCATCCCAGCCCAGGTGAGGGTGAAGGTGGTGGTGGCGATCGCAGTCATGATTCAGACGGCGACCGTGATCGTCGAGCAAAGCGGAGGCGAAGACGCGCAGAGTCTGAGACTGAGATGGCCATTGACTGCTTGCAGAGTGACGTGAGTGGCCTGACAGGGCTCATGGAATTCCTTTATGGGTGGCTAGGGGCTTTGCAAGAACACCTTGACAACCCGTCTGGCCATCGTGGAGGTGAAGCGGGCGCTCTGGCAACTACAAGCGGCTCGTTGTCACGGGCCAGCGTTCCCGCTGCGGAGACAATGCCAGAGGTAGATGTTGCGGGAGATGAAGGATGAGGCAGCGTCTGACCCAGAGCCAGGCTCCAAGTGATACCAGCCGAGTTGCGCGAGCCCCACATGTTACACGCAGCGTGGCTATTGACAGGAAGGCATCAGACCTCTGAGCTTCCGTCTTTCAGTCTTTGAGTCCTCCAAGTTACAGTTTTGCCCAAGCAGGAAATTGTTTGGGGTAGTTGTTAGCTTCTCGTCAAACAGGTTGCGAAGACCTAGCGTGCTTGGTGCTTTCGCCGAGCTGTTAGGCTCTCTTGCTTCCTGGTTGACGTTTGTTGCCATGGGTATCGTTTGTTGGCTTCTTTGGATATTGCCACAAGACGTCTAACATCACCGGATCAGATTCTGGGGGCTCAGATCCTGCAGGCGGCTTTTGCCAGGACGCTGGCTGGCCAAGTTTTTCTATTGCCACGACAACGGCTTGACAGACCACTTTCCTGCCGTCAGGGGTGAGGTGAAGTCATGGCCGTTTTTTTAACCGCGCAACGTCAGCGCTGCCTCGATAAAAGAAGCGCGAAGTGTCTCAAGCGTTGGAGTGTGCAGCGTTTGGAGGTCATGAGATATAGCAAGGCCTTCCCGCGGAGGCTTTTGGGGCCCTTTGCCTACCCAATAGTTTTGTTACCTGCTGAGGAAGATTTCATTCAGGAGGGGTTTTCTTGCGAGAGGGTGCGCGGGCCTCCCGGCGTACACCTGTTCGCGGACTACCGGGAGGGGTTTTCTTGCGAGAGGGTGTGCGGGCCTCCCGGCGTACACCCGTTCGCGGACTACCGGGAGGGGTTTTCTTGCGAGAGGGTGTGCGGGCCTCCCGCGTGCACCCGTTCGCGGGTTACCGGGATGGACTTGGCACTGCACCACCTTGTTTTAACAAACCTTCCGTTGCATCTGCACCTAACAACAACTGGGAACTATGAGCGTAGATTTGAATTTGGGGGAGAATGGCGCTCCCCCTGGTGAATTTGATGACGTCGAAGATCCTGGTGTTGGCAGTGTCAAACAGAGCTGCGGTCCGAGTGAAGCCACATGTGAGGGTGTTTGTGCATGCGTGAGCGTTTTTCACATGTCATGTTACGGGATGCACACATGTTTGCCAGTGTCTGCAGTTTTTTAATACTTGTGTACATGGCGTGCTCAAGCGGAAGGGGCAGTGCTGTGCACATTTTTTGATGGAAGAAGTAGATTCGTTGCCTTCAACGCAGGCGGTGACCAACGAAGAGTTGCAAAGGGACCTGGCAGTGTTGCAGAGGGACATTGCGCAAGTCGCACATCACCTTCGCACTGTGCAAGAGCAGCTGCACGAGTTAACTCAAGTCCACCGTGACGGACTTGGAGGCGTGCAAAGCAGTCTGCTCAAGTTTTGGTTCCCAGCCTGGCGTTTTCAGAAGCTGCTGGGCGTGCCGCTGCTTATTTTCCTCTTGGTCCTTGCACTGCTGTGCTTTGCACCAACTCCACTTCATTTCCTTCCGCTGCAATGCATACAAGTGTCGGCAGGTTCCGTTGCACCTGCGCCCAACAACAACTGGGAACTATGAGCGTAGATTTGAATTTGGGGGAGAATGGCGCTCTCCCTAGTAAATTTGATGACATTGTGTGGATCCTGGTGTTGGCAGCGTCAAAAAGAGTTGCGGTCCGAGTGAAGCCACATGTGAGGGTGTTTGTGAATGCGTTCGCGGGCGTGGCGCCGTTCCTGCAGGTTTGTATGTTTGTCCGTACGCGTGTTGTGCGTTTGGTTGTTCACGCAGCTGGTTGCGCGGGTTGGGTGCGCATTTTGGCTCGGCTCTGAATGAATGATCTTCCCGGCTCACGGCTTGCCTAGGGTCAGTTAATGTTCGTCACAGCCCACGGCTTTGCCTAGGGTCAGCGCAACCGACTTTGAAGAATTCTGGGACCATGGCGGTCGGTACTTCCAGGTTCATGGGTTATTTATCAATGGATGTTCTTCACAGCCCACGGCTTCGCCTAGGGTCAGCATAATGCACTTTGAAGAATTCTGCATGAATGCGCTTCCATGCAAGACTTTCGGCGCTAAAGATGTCTGCGCAGCGAAGCTTTGCTCGAACCTTCCGATCTTGTCCTTCCATATCGCGCTCTGTGTATCATGCCCGGTCGCAAGACTGTGAGCCTAGCTGAGGCCGCCAAACGTCGCTACCGCAAGGATAGCAGATTGGCCAGGCGCGTAGCGCATTTGCGCCAAGTAAAGTTTGCTGATGCCATTACGCCCGGCACGGAGACGGTAGTGTACGCAGCGCTGCGTGCGCTGTGGGAGGACAAGCTTGCTTCCCTCGAGGCTTCTCGCCTGTTCTGCTTGTACCTGGCTTGCTATGTGGTGGCCCGAATTTGCGCGGGGAGAAAGCAGTGGATGATGCCTACTGCTCTGGCAGGCGGGCTGCTGACGACAGACCTGTTTGAACGGCTCATCCATGCCGAGCTCCCCCCGCCACGGCACTACATTGGGCGCCTGCGTCAAGCAGATGCATTTACACTCAGTGTTCAAGACCGGCATCGATGTGTCCGATCAACAGCCAAGCGACCCATTCAATGACATGGGCTGTCAGTGGTGGAGGCACTGGACCCATACACCCTTGTCGCCTGAGCAACAGCGTCATGTGCTTACACCATGCTGTTCGTCCTGGCCACAAGGTCGCGAGACACACTTGCATATCTGCTATCGAGGCCTGACTTTCTCCTTCGCAACTGCGAGTGCTTGGGCCAACTCTACGATGCTCTCTACGCTGCCAATCATTTTCCTGGTCTTCAGGCCAACCGCGCTCGTAGCAAGCACACGTCCGAGCAAAAGACATGGAGCGCAGAGCGCTTGTTGGAAGGATTGCTCCGGCAGTTGTGGTATGAGCCAGCGGCGTTGTCAGGAATGTTGGCCGCTCAAACGGTGTCGCAGCTGGCGCGTGCCCTCGGACATGTAAAAGGGTTTGGCGGGAAACTGGTTTTCATACACACGCTCGAGTATTTGCTGTCCTGGGACGCAACGGCAGCGTTTCCATTATTTGGTATTCGGAACTACCGGAAACAGCAGCTAACCCGTCACTGCCGACACGGAGCTAACAGCCAGGCTTTCCAACGCCTAGTTTGCGCACACCGCCAGCGACAGCAGGCAGTGAGCTGGGGCTACTCGCAGATATGTTCAGAAGTTCGCAAGTGGCTGCCGAGTGAAGTCACTTTTGGCCATGTGAGCGTAGCTGTAAAGTCTGACTTTTGCGTCTCTGATGCGAGTCAGAACGCATGTCAGGCCATTGCCGTCTTGCAGTTTTTATTGAGTGGAAAGCACGGCGGCAAGGAGCGTGCCGTCAAAGGAGCCGGAAGCGGCTGAACAGCAGCCAATTGACTCGGTGATCTCGCAAGTAAAAGAGAAGCCGGTGCTGGTATGAAGGGGTGCTGTTGATCTGGAAAGATGTTCTGGTGCATCGTTTCAGGGACGGGTAGATTTTGGACGTCGGGCCGTTGTGTTCTGTTCGTTTGGAAACCTTGCAGAGGGTCCACTGCAGATTCTCGGGGTGTGTTTGTGTGGAGGACATGGTGGCGTGCTGGGGTGGAAGAGCCGTGTGCAGACTCATGTTTCGAACAGACATCTTTCACTGACTCCCTTTGTGGATGGAGTGGAGTCCTTCATGCGATTAACCGCATGCCAGAGGTTTTGGCTGAGGTGGTCACATAACCCCCAAAGCTCGATGTTTCTGGGGGTGGCGCTTTGGCGGCTTCTTCGCAGATTCTTCGTGTTGCCCACAAAGAAACCGGTGCAGAAACAGCCGCGGACTTCTGAAGAAAACAACTGGATGGAAGTAGACGCCTGCTCCTCTGATGACAACGACAGATCCGGGGTGGACGCATCCTTGGAGATCGTGCCCGTGAATCTGAAGCCCCGCCCTCTCGGAGCTTTTGTGCGAGTAGGGAATATCAAGCTGAGATTGTAGCCGGAGGCTTCAGACAGCTGCCCCGGAAATTTGCATGCCAGGCTGCTGGCTTCGTGTTCCTTCGGCCCGATTGCAAAGCAGTCCTGAACATAAAAAGAAATTCGCAATGCTGAAAAGTCTGACATGGAGTGATGGCCTGCGTCACATGTTGTCCCTTCGTGCCGTGAAACTCACACTCCTTCACTAGAGTGAGCATGACCATCCGGACGTGTCAATTCCTTGTTTTGCAGGGCCTAAGCATGTTTGGGTTGCCCAGAGCTTCTACGTGGCAAGGTCTACATCACCGTGCAATCACTGCCGCTGCCAATGTCTACCTCTGCGACTTGCGTCGTGGAATGCGGCTGGCGACACTGCAGGCCCGCTGACGTTAGGACTTCGGTTTCGTGTTGACGCCAAAGATTGCCTTGTCACTTGTGGCATTCCTCGTTCTTTTTTTTGAGCCACTGGTCGCTCGCTCGCGTGGCATTTTCTCGCGGAGTAACTTTCCTAATGGGGAGGCAGAACATGATGCAGAACATTTCGGCATCATGAGCATGAGCCATGTGAGCAGAAGCAGGTTCAGCGGCACACGTGCAGTTGCCCGGCATAGCGATCTTTTGCCATGGATGTGCTTTTGCTTTCCCAAGAGTCCCTGAACCTCTTGCTCGACGGTCGAGCCTCCGGGCTCTTGCGAGGGACGTTCACTCCAAAGCGCGGAGATGCCTTGCTGGATTCCTTTTTTTTGCATGTTTGGACTTCCCTGGGGCTGCCTTCCCAAGCAGAGCTCCAGGCAACGAGCCAGCTCCAGCTTTGCCAGTTGCATTTTTGCTGTGCGGACAGTCCGAATCAAGATATTTGGCTGGGGTTGGCTGCCGTTGGAGATGTTGTGGCACGAGCCCGCCTGGTTGCGGCGCACAAGTTGGATGAGCCGGGACTGCGGCGTGCAGGGGAAGCTTTGCTGGAGCAACAGAAACGGCTGTGCTATGGAACCCCTCACTTGTGGGAGCTTGACCAAGTCGAGCAGCTCGCGGAGCCTTGGAGGATTTCAAGCGCGGCGCGCAAGGGATGCGCGCAGTGGATTCCAGCGCGTCGCTGGCAGTCACAGCATCCTGAGCCCGTCAAGCGGAAACAGTCCGGTGTCACGAGAGCTTGGCCAAAGAGGTTTCCCAGAAAACCTAGATCTGACGGACAAGGCCCTGACCTTCCGCAAGGCTTGCTGCTGAAGCAAAGACGGCCAAAGAAAGGTAAACGGGAAAAGCGACTCAGCAGGAACGCCCCCGCAAACCCTCAAGATGCCATTTCTCTGGATCGACATGGCCAGGGTGCAGACTTGTCCCAGCGGCTGAGAGCAGGGAGAACTTTGCCCAGACTGCGACATCTGGCCAGCATGAGCTTGTTTTACCACAGACAACCCTTCGATGCCCCGTCCGATCCTCGTCCAGGACGCTGTGCGCTTTTACGAGGGAACCCTTGCTTCATCGTCTCCACCTTCCAGCGCAGGAAAGTGCCCATGGCAGATGTTCTTCCATTGCAGGAGACGCTGGATGATGCGATCCTGACTGCCTCTCGAGCAGACATAGAGACGTGCGCGCAAAGAGACTTGCAAGATGTGGGCTGCAAGCGCGTGCAGATTCAACCACGAAATCTTCGGAAGGGCCGGCTGCGTTTCAATGTCTTGCCTGCTGCGTGTGAGCCTGGACTGCAAGCAAGTGCAGAACGACCGACTGCCCCAGCCGCCGCTGGGGAAATTATCCGTGTGGAGCCAGCTGCTGCCTCAAGAGCTCGCTTGTGGACGGGCGCTGGCATCAGGTCGTGGTGCCTTGGTGTGAATTCAAGACGCAGCACGCTGCCGCCTAAGCGCTTTTAAATGGTTGGAAGCCTCGCAGCTTGTTGTGTTGCAGTTTTTTTTGCTCTGTCTATTCAGGTCCGACGAGATCTTAGTCAGCGAGCAATCTTTTGGCTTGACACCCCGCTGCCATATTTGCTGGATACGCGGCCGGAGCGGTGCTTGACGTGTGGTAAATCTTACCCAGTGAAGCCAAGCGACATCCGCCGCCACTTCCCTACCGCTCTATCCTGCCGTACTTCAAAGCAGCGAGTTGTATGGTTCTCTGGGCGCTTGCTGGTGCAGGCGGTGCAAAAATTTGCTGAGGTGCCAACTGCAGCCGCTGTGAAACGCTACCTGCTCGACTTATACGCTTCGAACTCCCTGGATCTTGCCACTGCTCAGCAGCAGCTTGGTGTGCTATCTTGTCTGCCGAGATTGCGGGCTTTGCGCGGGGTCCTGCGGCAAGCGTTGATGTCGTACTTGCCAGGCCTTGTCGAAGAGATCCAGAAGTCTGCCCACGTGTACTCTGGAAGCGCCGTCAAAGGCGACGGCAACTTCAAGATAGCTGCTCGCATCAAAGGCCAGCTCGTGGATAAAGCCACCCCGCTGGACCCTGCGGGTAGGAGGGATGCAATGGCCCGCCCAAGCTGTAAGAGTGAAGGTTTCTGTCGGAAGGGTAGCCGAGGTAGTGCGCGTAAAAAGCATTGCTGGCCAGGAGCTCGCCCTGCCACTGCTGTCATCTACGGCTGGTGTGGCGTCGACGGGTGCCTCCTGAAGCCGTGCGAACTCATGCCCGTCGAATCTTGGGCCTACATTCAACCAGATTTGGAGAAGTTGGCAGACCAGATGCCGCTCGCCAGATTACAAGTTTTGCCTGCTGGTCGCGCAGCATGAGATTCCGCCCGTGTATCATTCAACTGACACTTACGCGAAACATCGCAAGCTCCTGCGGAGTTTCTGGAGGCGGAAATACAGCACTGGTGTGCAGAGCGTGTCAAGCACAGCTCGTGGAGATGCGTACTCTGTGGCGCCCGGCCCCGACCGTGATCCCACCAGGAACCTCAGCATGCAGCTTCGGTATCATTTTGGTCGTGTCTGCTTTGGTCACGTGAGCTGCGTGTGTTGCTCAGTTATCTTTGGGCCAAGGATAACGGGAGATCCACAGCATGAAGTGCTGGCGCTGGGCCGACTGGTGCCTCCAACCAGCAGCGACGGTCCAACATTTGTTGCGGATCACAGGAACCTTATGGAGAGGCTCAGCTTGCCACCCTCGCCGCATCCGACCTGTCCGGCCGATCACGTCTTCCAAGAGTTGCGACAGGACAGCAAAGGGGGGGGGGGGACTCTCGTTTGCCAAGGTACTGGTCGGCATGCGATTAGCATTTCATGCTGACATCTGAGCTCAGGCCTGCTTTTGTCACATCCCATGAATTGAGCTTGCTTCAATGCAGCGAACTAGAGAGGTTGCATGCTGATTCCACAGGCTTACACTTCTTTGACTGTGTCTTCATTCCCCAATCCTAGGACATTGCATATGTCTGATCATATCAAGGGACAGGAAGGGAAATACCGGAAAATCAGCATTTGAATGGCCGCGCTTCAGCCTCAGGATCTTCAGCCTCTCTTGCAAGAAGCTGTGCGGAACAGACGCTTCGATCTTGATGCCAGCAGCGCTTCGGATCAGGAAAAGAAGGAAATGCGAGATTTCCTTGGGCAAGCGTACGCTTCTCGTGCGCAAAGCTGGCTCGGCATCTTCGGGAGTTCGCCGCCCCGTCAAACCTTGGCACGGCTGTGCGGGCGATTTGGGGTAAAAATCCACGACACTGAGGGCAACTACAATGTGCGCGACGCCACGGACTTTGTCGCAGAAGTGCGCAGGATCCTGCGGTGGTATCGACACAGAAAGAGATCCACGCTGCTGCGAAGGCGACAGGTTCTACGGGAGCGTCAGCAGCGCATCATCCCCGGCAAGACGGGCGTCCTGAGCAAGAAGGTCCGGGCACACCTCCGACGACTTCGGCGGCCGGTTCGAGTGGAGAGCTTCATGCACTGGCGAGACATGGCGATACAGACATTGCGAGCTGGGATAGCAGTACAAAGCGGCACTGTCTGCGTGGAACGCTACTGGGCGGCCTTGCTGAACTACATTGCACCTCAGGTCCGGCAAATGTCGCCAGCTTGGTGGTTCGTCTTGGCACAGTTGAGCTTCGCCAAGTGGAACTACCAGCATTTCAGTCTTGATGCCCTGCCCGGTATAGCAGAGCGAGATGCTGAAATCCAAAGCAAGTTGTCTACCTGCACCTTGCTGGCGCGAGCCCTTCATGACAGTGAGCTCAGCGAAGCCATCGGATTGCACGACCTGTTTGATCCTTTCCGGCATGATGACGATGCGCAGTTTGCGGAGGCAAAGACTTTGTCCGCTGAGAGTGGTCTTGGTGACTAGTACGTAGCAAGCTGAGGTCTCGTGCGTACACCTGGCAGTGTCCTCTAAAGCCAAGTGTCTTGTCCCTATCGCTGGGTGATGCGTAGAATCAGTTTTGACTTGCGCTGCCGCGGCAAACAGCGCCTCCTCTTGGACACTTGTCAGGCAGCGCGTGTTGTCACACTCCATAGCAGTCCTCTCATTTCCTGAATTCAGAGGCTGTCGCGCAAACGATGCCCTGCGACGGACAACAGAGTACTTTCGTGCCGACGTTTGCCATATGGGTATGTCTCTAATTGGGGTGCCCCCAAAATGGTGGTTTTCCTGTTGGTTTCCCTTTAAGATCAACCAAAAAGGAGTTCCCATAAAAAAAGACAGAACCATATATTGTTTCCATTTGTTTTTTGCCCCGAGCGCTTCCACACAATAGCCTAACCACTGTTGGAATCGCGGTGGTCCACGTTTGTTTTTGGATGACAGCTACAAGTACAGGTGCCATCCATCCTTCTGCATATGAAGCCAGGTTGCAAAGACCTAGCGTGCTTGGTGCTTTCGCCGAGCTGTTAGGCCCTCTTGCTTCCTGATTGACGTTTGTTGCCGCGGAGCAGTTTGGGTTAGTTGACAGTTTGACTTACTGCTGCAAGATGTCTAAATCACGGGGCCAGATCTTGCTGGTAACATCTTGGGGCCTGAGCCTGGCGCGGTAGACGTCTTCTGACCCTGTCGCAGGCGCGTGGCGTTGCAAACAGTGGCCCAGGCTCCAAGTTACAGTTTTGCCCAAGCAGGAATTGTCAGCTGCTCGTCAGACAGGTTGCGAAGACCTAGCGTGCTTGGTGCTTTCGCCGAGCTGTTAGGCTCTCTTGCTTCCTGGTTGACGTTTGTTGCCATGGGTATCGTTTGTTGGCTTCTTTGGATATTGCCACAAGACGTCTAACATCACCGGATCAGATTCTGGGGGCTCAGATCCTGCAGGCGGCTTTTGCCAGGACGCTGGCTGGCCAAGTTTTTCTATTGCCACGACAACGGCTTGACAGACCGCTTTCCTGCCGTCAGGGGTGAGGTGAAGTCATGGCCGTTTTTTTTAACCGCGCAAACGTCAGCGCTGCCTCGATAAAAGAAGCGCGAAGTGTCTCAAGCGTTGGAGTGTGCAGCGTTTGGTCATGAGATATAGCAAGGGCCTTCCCGCGGAGGCTTTTTGGGCAACTGGTGACCCCTTTGCCTACCCAATAGTTTTGTTACCTGCTGAGGAAGATTTCATTCAGGAGAGGTTTTCTTGCGAGAGGGTGTGCGGGCCTCCCGGCGTACACCCGTTCGCGGACTACCGGGAGGGGTTTTCTTGCGAGAGGGTGCGCGGGCCTCCCGGCGTACACCCGTTCGCGGACTACCGGGAGGGTTTTTCTTGCGAGAGGGTGTGCGGGCCTCCCGGCGTGCACCCGTTCGCGGGTTACCGGGATGGACTTGGCACTGCACCACCTTGTTTTAACAAACCTTCCGTTGCATCTGCACCTAACAACAACTGGGAACTATGAGCGTAGATTTGAATTTGGGGGAGAATGGCGCTCCCCCTGGTGAATTTGATGACTTCGAAGATCCTGGTGTTGGCAGTGTCAAACAGAGTTGCGGTCCGAGTGAAGCCACATGTGAGGGTGTTTGTGCCTGCGTGAGCGTTTTTCACATGTCATGTTGCGGCATGCACACATGTTTGCCAGTGTCTGCAGTTTTTTTAATACTTGTGTACATGGCGTGCTCAAGCGGAAGGGGCAGTGCTGTGCACTGCCTTGTGCGGCAGCGGTGGGCCAGCTGCTGGCGCTGTTTGCGCCGGTGCGTGACGGGATGCTAGTGCCACCGCGATGTGAGACGGCAAGGTAAAACGACAGCTGGAGTGCCTGATAGGATATATATATATATATATATGTGTATATATATATTGTATCGGAGTCTGCAAATACAATTCAACTTTTCCAGCCTGTTTCTCTGTTCGACTGTTTGCTCATTACCTACTGCGCGTGCACGCCGCGAATAAAACAAAAAAAACGAGTTTTTTGACATTCAGCAAAAACTCGGTTTTTTTCGGCTTTCCCATTTCCATGGTAGACTGAGCTGTAGGTCTGTATCTAGCAGCGCAAAACATCTCGGATTTCGGCTAACTCTGCGTCACCGAAAACAATTGGGCCAGACGGAGGCTCAATGAAGAAGGCTGGCGCTGCAGGACAGGTAAGACATCCACTTGTGTACGTGATAAAGTATATATTGTGTCGGAGTCTGCAAAATAGAATTCAACTTGATAAAGTAATTCAACCTGAGAAGGAAGCGCACGAAAGCCAGCTTTTTCCCCGTGCAAGCGCCTCGCCAAACGGAGGGAGTCTCCGCCGCCGCTCGACCGGGCCCTCGCATCCAGCCGAGCACTTATCTGCCTAAGCCTTCACTCCCGCTGGTTGCATGCATGTAAGCGCAGGCAACGCAGAGCTGATACGAATGCAGGCGGCTGGACTGGACATGCCCAGTATTGTGTGTACCATAGAAAACACAAGCACAAAAGCAGCTGCAACAACCCAGGAGCCATGCGCAGCTAGAAGAAGAGCTGGGGCGAGCTTGAGGTCCGTCTAACATTTGGAACGGCCAACAACAATAGCGGAAGCAACGCGGCTCTGTTACGAACGCAGGTCGCTGAACTTGACATGCCCAGCATCCCCGCCCAGCATCCCCAACCCCCTCGACACGGAAGAATTAGGAATGGGGCCGCTGAACTGAAAGTGCCGAGCATCCCCAGCCCATTGAAGCTTAACATCCCCAGCATCCCCAACCCCCTCGAAACGGAACTGTTAAGAATGCAGGCCGCTGAAGTTTGACGTCCCCAGCATCCCCAGCCCATTGAAGCTTAACATCCCCAGCATCCCCAACCCCCTCGAAACGGAACTGTTAAGAATGCAGGACCCTGAGCTTGACATCCCAGCATCCCCAGCGCACTCCATCCAGCAAGCCCAACCCGCTCCAAGTGCGAAGAAACTGCTGAAATTGGACGCGGGAAATCCCCCCTCGCCCGCACCCCCCTAGTACTCACTTCGTTCGCCAAAACTGAACTCAGCCTACGCCTCCGCAGGAGGCTGGCTTTCGTGACAACTTTTCCTGCCCATTTGTCTGTTCGACTGTTTGCTCATGACCTACTGCGCGTGCACGCCGCGAATAAACAAAAAAACGAGTTTTTTGACATTCAGCAAAAACTCAGTTTTTTTCAGGTTTCCCATTTCCAAGGTAGACTGAGCCGTAGGTTTGTGTCTTGCGGTGCGAAACATCTCGGATTTCGATAAACTTTGCGTCGCCGAAAACAATTGTGGCAGCTGAAGGCTGAATGAAGAAAGCTGGCGTTGCAGGAGAGGTACGACATCCGCTAGTGTGCGTGATAGAGTATATATTGTATCGGAGTCTGCGCATAGCACTCAATTTGTCCTGCCTATTTCTCTGTTTGACCGTTTCCTCATTACCTACTGCGCGTGCGCGCCGCGACTAAAACAAAAAAACCGAGTTTTTTTGTCATTCAGCAAAAACTCGGTTTTTTCCGGTTTCCCATTTCCAAGGTAGACTGAGCCGTAGGTTTGTGTCTTGCAGTGCATAACATCTCGGATTTCGGTAAACTTTGCGTCACCAAAAACAATTGGGCCAGCTGGAGGCTGAATGAAGAAAGCTAGCGCTGCAGGAGAGGTAAGACATCCGCTTGTGTACGTGATAGCGTATATATTGTATCGGAGTCTGCAAAATAGAATTCAACTTTTCCTGCCTATTTCTTTGTTTGACCATTTTTCCTCATTATCTACTGCGCGTGCACGCCACGAATCAACCAAAACAAAAACGGTTTGTGAAATTCAGTAGAAGAGAGACGCAGAGCCTTCCACCTAGTGGTTGCATGTTGCTCCATGCTGTGACTACCCCGTGGTGTGTTTGTTGCAACAAGCAGATGCCATGAAGCAATGAATGCCTTGCTGCCCGCTGCTACAGCCTTGCCGTGGGCAGGGCTGCCCAACATGCACATGCTGCAGATAAGCCACATCGATTAAGCCATTTTGTGATGCCACATAGCCAGTCTCAGACATAGTGAGAACCCAGCCAGATCTCCAGCCACGGGGCCACTTGGAGCCACTTGGAGCCACTTCAAGTGGCAGTGCCACTTGGAGTGGCTTGAAGTGGCCCCAAGTGGCAGATTCAGAATCCTCCCGGATTGCACGTCCTCTCCAAATTCGAGTTGCCAACCCATACCAGTTATCCTCGGGAGCCTTGTTGAGCACAAGGTAACTCCTCAACTTGGACATTGCCCTCGTGTGTTGCTCTTCTCCGCCCGTAGTTCCGCGGTTTGCATAGGTGGTGGCCACTTCCGCATCTCGGCTAAATTCTTGACCACCAACTCATTGCAATTTGGCGCGTCCAGTAGATTTGCCATGACTTCCATAACCCGATGCATGCGTGCCAATGATCTGGATCCTTCGCAACTGAGCGAGACCTCATACACATAGGCCGGAGTCATAATCAATTCGGGAATACGGACTCCTCGACAATCAGACTTCGCACACCATGCCGCGAGCACCTGGTCGAGTGGAACTTTTGTTGTGGTAATGATGGCGCCAGACTGAGTCGCACACGCACCAAATGGAATCAGCGCTTTCATCGGCACATACAATACGACCACGTACACCTGCCCAAAGAACTCCCTCTTCGATAGCACATTCCGTTTGTCCCAAGGCGCTAATATGCTGTAATAGTTATCGACGCGCCCATCGAGGCCCATAGACCGAAGTCCATACCTCATGGTGTCCTCGAGATCGCCAACCTTTATGGTGAAGTAGCTCCCCCCAGAATACTCCGCGAAGCCTTCGTCGATCGGCCAAATGTGCTTGGCAGGGTTGTAATTTGCGCAGATCGCCACCGGCTCCCACATGCCGTCGCACTGATCAAATATCCAGTCGAGTTGGTCATCATTAAGCCTGAAATCATGTCCAAATCTTTCACGATCGTATTTGTCAACCCGCCAA